AAGAAGCTAGAGCTAATGGGCCAAGCAGTGATTTAAATAATATAGTTTCTATGTGATCATTTTGGGTCTGAGCTGTTGGGGGCTGGGAAACAAACAAGTGGCCTCCTGAAAACACTGATCATTTGCTCCCACTTTTCTATTTAAAGCCTCTTCTGATCCTGGAAATTGTCTCAGGAGACAGAGGTTAAGGTTCTGATTTTTGCCATTGGCTGGAATTCTTCAGAGAATTTACCATTGGCTGGAATTCTCTGTGCTTCACATTCTTTCATGAAACACAAGTTTTAAAATTCTAGATGTCCAGGAGCTGAAGAGAAGGTTTAGAGATAAAGATTATGTAGTTGAGTTCAGTTCCCATATCTATTTTGGATGACTTACATTTGTTTGCAAATCTAGCTCCAGAGGACCCAATACTGTCTTCTGGACTTACTTGTGCACATAACTACATCCATGTACATATTTAATTTTTAAAAAGATTTATTTTGCTTTCTATTTTGTGTATGTATACCTGTGTGTATTCATATACATGCCTGAAAAGTGCTTGTGGAGGCCATAGAAAACAATTCAATAATTTGGAACTGGAGTTGAAGGTAGTCATTGTCCATCCAATTCAGGTGATGGCAACTGAACCCAGCCCTCTGCAAAAACAGGAAATGCATGTAACCGTGGAGCTGTCTCTCCAGCCCCAAAAGTAAACCTTAAAATAAAAATGCATGCATCTGATTAGTGGTGGTAATTATGCTCATTCAGAACATTAGAGTGTGCTAATATTTGGAATTTTAATTGCAGAAGCACTAAGTGGGACCGGGAAGGATTCTGGCATTTGTGACTATAGCTACATCACCTGCAGTGAGGAGTCTGAAACCTGCTTGGGGTCCCTGATTATTTTCCAAGATTACAATAAACATCTTAAATTCCAGGTTTACTATAAGAAAACTGTATTCCAGTTTGGTGCACTTCATTCCTAAGCCTATCTTGGAAGACATCCCCAGGCTCCTTGATTTAGGGCTGTTCTCCCCTGCTGCCTCAGGGCACGTCTTTCTTTCTACATACAATATTTAAAAGCAAAAGTTGCCCAACGTGGGGCTTATTCCCGGAGATTTAAGAGTTTTGTTCTCAGATGATTCAACATTTCAGAGCTCCTCTGTTGCAGTTTCCTCTGAGTTCTACGTCCAGAACAGCTTCAAGACTGCTGCCTGAGATGATCCAAACTCACAAAATACTCCAGTCAGGACTTGACCATAATCCTCCATTTTCTGTGGGTCCCAATAAGATTATCAGTGCCCTCAATCATCAGGATGTAGCCTAGAAAAATACATATATGTCCCCCAAAACTGGGTTATGAATGTTTGTCTTTGTGTAGAGTGTTGGTTACAAGTTGTTATGGATAATGTTCAGGAGAAACACTAAACAAAGGAGACTAGATTTAGAGTTTTTGTTTTGAAAAGGAAAAATGGCAAAAGCTATGGGATAATGCTCTTGTACACTATAAAGATTTGTCACTCATATTAGTTTAATAAAATACTGATTGGCCAGTAGCCAGGCAGGATGAATAGGCAGAGAGACCAGCCTAGAGAATTCTGGGAAGAGGAAAGGCAAAATATTTCACCAACCAGATGCAGAAGAAACAAAATAAGAATGCCTCACTGAGAAAAGGTTCCAAGCCTTGTGATTAAACATAGATAAGAATTACAGGTTAATTTAAGTTTTAAGAGGTTGTGGATAATAAGCGTGAACAATAGGTCAAACACTTTATAATTAATATAAGCCTTTGTGCGTTTATTTGGGATTGAATGCCTGTGGGACCGTGCAGGACAGAAAATTCCATCTACAAAACGAACAAACAAACAAAAATGTGACACAGGTTAGCATTATACGATAATGACTCCTGGATGGCTTTTGGTTAATTCATATTTATTTTCATATTTCCAAGGAAGAAAGAAGGTATTTTCAGTATAAACATTGATAAAAGAATATTCTGTTCTTTGAAAACACTTCTGACTTTAAATCTCAGAAAATGTTGCCTTAAGTATAGAATTTTCTTCTTTCCTTTTAAGAGCTCAACCTATTGGTCAGATTCTTTGCCTAGAAACATTGTTAGACGTTATAGATCCTTAGGTTAGTCTTGGGAAGATGTAGGACTCTGGGTGTGGGTCTTGGCTTCACAAAGTATTTGACCTGGGTCAGTTCACTGGATCCTTCAAGATAGGTTTCAGGCATAATTGTGTTATTTAAATGTTCCTAAACGGTTTTCTCAATCCTGATACATTTTTGCAGAGAACACACTGCTGAGCTGAGACTGTACATGCTATATTCAGCCCCGAGCAGATTTTTATGACAAGGTAATAAACCCCTGGAAGCAGGTTTATAATGGAAAACGCAACTTGACCCCAGCTAGAGGAACCCAAATACACCTTCGAAAAGGCTCATTTCTGAAACCTACAAATCCCGTTTTCCCAGGGGTGGTGTCACAGGAGAAAGGTGTACAATAATAGTTGTATTTACCATAAATGCCTAACATATTTTATGATGATTTGATTGTATTAAAAATTTCACCTTATAGATTTTAATAAAACTGCCTGTGGGCAAAGTTATTGCAGTTGGATTTGTTTCCCCTTGCCCACTGCTCTCGGTGGAAAGAAGTGAGCCACCATTATAAAAAGGCTTTGCTTTTAGTACCTGGTTAATAAAAAATAATTTCCTCTTCTTTGGACTTGTTCACGAAGCTGAAAAATGACTCCGTGGGTCAGTGGTGTGTGGCAAAGCTAATTTCTATAAGCTTTCTTTTATCGGGTGGGACTGAATCTAACAAGATGGGGAAACTGAAAACCCCTTCTGTACCAAATATACAAGGGTGAGCATAATCCCCAGGGTCACGACAAGGAAAACGGCAAAACATTTTGTTCTCGTCGATTTCTGGGAGAGCATGTGTCGTCCAAGTACATGTGCTCCTGGCAGGTTCCCCGTTCCCCTAGCCTCACATGAGCTCCGAGGAGAATTAGGAGAACATCTTTCCTTGAGGTTGAGCAATGTGCTTGCTGTGTGTCTTGCAGAGCAACACAGAATCGCCGTGCCCCTCCTGTTTCTCCAGGATGTTCACAGACCAACCTCTGGAAAAGAAACTGGGAACAGGGTCTCACAAAGAGCCAGAGCACCCGAGTAGCTGGCTGCCCTGCTCCCAGTCAGCGCAAAGAGATATTTCCTTCTTTACCTTCTCAGACAGTTGTAAGGATGGAGACTGTAAGTCTAATCATAGAAGGTTCCCAGGGCATTTTCACAGAGGCTTTGCTCCATTCAGAGTACCAAAGAAGAATACCCCAGGGATTTGTGGTATGGGAAGTCCTTCCATCTTTGTGTTCTTTTCACTGACTAGTGAATAAAACTGATTTGGCCAATGGCCTAACAGAGTAAAGCTGGATGGGAAATCAGAACAGAGGTGTAGAGAGAGAGTAGGCAGAGTCAGCGAGAAGCCACATACACCACAGGAGTCAGACACCTCCGCTGGAGGGTGCTGAAACTTTGCCGGTAGGCCATGACCTTTAGGATATAAGAGCTAGCTAGAAATATGCATAAGCTATTGCCAAGCAGTGTTTTAAATAATATAGTTTCTGTGTAATCATTGCGGGTCTGAGTGGCCAGGAGCAAACAAGCAGCCTCTGACTACAGGTTTGGAAAGTTAACAGTTGTGTTTGGAGACGTGGAGATGATATGAGAAGGAAGGGTAATATCCCACTTTGACAGTCTGTCTTAGATGAAGTTGAAATGGGCAGCAGTTATAAGGTCTTTGAGGGGAAGGCCAAAGGACTTCCTTTCTTCTTTCCGCTTCAGTTTTATTTTTTAATGAAAAATGACTTACAATGTATAGATGTGGGAGGGACTTTTGTCTCCAGGCAGGAGTATATGAAGTCACCCATATGCTTCTCTTCCACAGCTGTGCTCTTGGTAAGGGTAGCAGTGGGTGGGAGCAGGACACACCCTACTTCTGACACTGGAGATGGGTGTTAAGGAGAGATGTGGATTCATAAAAGCGTGGTGCTGGAGAAGCTGTGAATTGAAACCATTCTCTCTCATCAGAGATCCAACTTTGTAAGGTTAGACAGGCAATAATTCTCAGAGCGATTGTTCAGGAGCTGGTGAGTGGCGTCTGTAACAGTAGCAGGAGGGAGGCAGGTGTTTGATGGCACGGGAGAGGATGCTGGCGAGTGGCAGGGAACGTGGAAATCTCTGCTCAGATGTGAGAATGGAATTAGGAGCCAGGTTGCAAAAGCAAGATGGAGTTGGACAAGGGCTCCACTCACGTATGAGTGGGGAGGAGCAAGCATCACAATGAAAGCAGTTCACTGGAGGCCTGGAGAATGAAAGGTGCTCATCACTGGTGAGTCTCTTCATGAGCTAGAGACTGTGTTGTACAAATAAAGTCTGCATTTTTGCAAAACCAATTTCTTTTTTTCTGTAATAGTACAGCTATCAGCTAATATAGTAGTATATGAGTGTTTATAAACTATCAGATGTTGAAAAAATATGACTCAGCCCAAGCATCCTCAAATAGATAATCTATGATCCAAAATCCAAAATATAATGAGTGCCTACAGGAAATCAAGTATGGAAAATTCCATACCTATCAGAATGCAGGTGCACAAAAATATATAAATGACCTTCAGGCTATGTGGGTCAGCTACCTATGTAGTACAAATGAATTTCATGTTCAAGTACGGGCCTCATTGCCAAGGTATCTCAGTATGCTAATATTCTAAAAACATAAAACCAAAATTTGGAATCTTGAATACATCTAAGCATTTGAGATGAGAACTTTATCTGGATGTACCCACCCTATAGTTGACAGAAGCTTGGCTCACATAATTTGTTGTGGTATGAAAATTATAGAGAACTCAACAAAGTATTTTTTGGAGGACACACAACAAGGACATTGTGGAACATATCAAAGACAAACTTCCTAAAAACTACTTAAAATTGTGTCTCTTTGGTATTGACTTACAATGTGCCACATTTTGAAATACCAGCCTAGTAGGACACTAAATGACTTGATCTTCTCTTGGGCTCTGGGACACTCCAGGAAAATCCGCTTCTCTCCAGCCGTGCCTGTCTCCTCTGGACCCCTTTGCGTTTGGTCAGTTGCTGTGCAGAATTCTAAGTCATATTTCTTCCTATGTAGACATCTAGTTGGGGAGAAGAGGAAGGAGAAGCTGTACCCAAACTTGGGGGCTGTGTTCTATGAAACCCGAGGACTTTGTGTCTTGAATGGTGTACTTACCATCGCCTGTTTAACATTAGCCTTATTTACTGATTCATTTGCTTGGGCAAAAGGTTGAGGTGATGACCCGGACTCCTCACCTTTATTATAGTAGATGCGATTGACTTAGGGTAAATGGAGTTATGGTGATGGTGTGAAGAATAATCCTAATGCCGCAAGCGGAACTTACATACTGTTCATAGGCTTTCCTTACTCTTGCCTCATCAATTTCTTTGTCAAACGCTCTCTTGAGAAAGCAAACGTAGTACTTAAGCCCCGAAGTTTCACTCAATACTATGAGAGAGCTAAAGGAATAGACTACAGGGGAAAGCAAAGCTGGATGTCTCCATTCTTTGATTCTTAAGGATTTAATCATAAATATAACAGGTAAGTCAGTTAATTGTATCAATGTAGTATAGCAGGCACCACAAACCAGATTCAAGTTATTTTGGACAGAAGCCTGGTCAGGATGGAGAGTTGAAAGGAAATAGGATGCAGATGATATGCAGGGGTCTCTGTGTGTGGAGACTTGAGTGAGGACGGAGATGGGAGACCAGAGAACATTTCTCAGGCCAAAGGACAAATAGGAAGCTGAAATGAATCCCGGGCAGACAAAGGAGAGTCCAGGCTAAGACGGAAGTGAGAAATGGCACTGCAGAGTTAGAGGATACTGGGGCGGGCAGGTGAACTCGGCTTCTCAGCACAGAGCTGGAGATCGGATTGGGTGAAGAAAGAACTGGAGTGGAGAAGGACCGTTCATGAAGAGATTTGATCGCAAAGCCAAGGACTTCGACTTTTCCCCTGGCCACCCTGGAATGCCGCCAGAGGCCTTCAGACCCATGAGCAGCATGGTAAAGACAAGAGTGTTGGAGAATATACTCTCCTGTGGTAGTGATAAGAATCATAATCTAGGCATTGGGAGCCATTTAGTATTTTGTGTTTCTGATGTATGAATTGAATTTTGTACATAGTTGACAGAATGTTCCATGCTCTCCTTGATAAAGTGGCCCTTCTAAGAACAAGTCAATAAAAAAGACACACACACACACACACACACACACACACATACATATATGTATGATTTTAACATTTAGAGGGGAAATCCAGGGTGACACATCAAGACTAAAAGCATCCACAGGAAATCTGATGTTTTATACAGAGTGATTATGTAAAATGCTCACTTGTGGCTTGAGCGAGTGCAGTCAGAGAATTGCGTAGCTGTGAGTCATAGTGGGGTTGGTCCTCATAGTAAATGAGTGTCTTGGGGAAATCCATTTACGTTTCAGTTCTTACAGTACATGCGACTGCATTTGAGGAGTGGATAGGAAACCTGTCTATTCGCAAGTTGGAGACAATGGATGATATTGAGTATAAGTACATGCACATTCAAATCCCACGCTCAAGTGTATGAATAGAGTGATGTGTGTGCTTATATAGCCAGACATTGATAAATTTACAACCTCATTTCACTCCAAAACATAGTAATGAAATTCAATGTGTTTTCTGGTTAAGAAGAAAAAAAAAGGTTGATCGCCGGGTAATAAGATTTTTATCAATAATAGTTCAGTGACAGAAGGAAGAACATATTTAGTCATTTTTAACTGTTTCCCACTGACATGTTCCCCATATATCTTTTTATCATAAACTTTCAACTATACATGTGGTGACCAGGCTCTGCTAGGTTCACACTGCTTTTCCTCACGCTGCTGAGTTAACTGTACTTTACTGCACGCTTGGATTGAAGGTGCCAGCTAGTGACATGGGTGACAGGCACAACTTGGCTGGAAGGTCAGGGCCTGGAACTTTCCCAGGCCCTCTGAAATGGCTGTCAGGCTGGTTTCTCACCCTGATTCTTACCTCGCCATTCATTAATGTGCTTACAGAGCCGGGCCCTCCTCTGTCGTGTTGAATTGCCACTGCTGGTTCTTGTTTTGGGTTTTTCCAGATGTTTCCCCTCAGCTGCTCTGCTCTCTCTTTGCTCATGTTCCTTTCTCAGAGGGGAACTTGAAGGCAAGCGATAGCCTCTCTCTTCCCTTTTCTCTGCGCACTGGCATCTTTAGCTGTCTTCTAGGCAATGCAGTATTTTGTTTCTGTGGCTATCTCCCTAGAATGTGAATGGTAGTTTGAGGCCTGAATAAAAGAAAGAAAAAAAATGAAATTGCAGAACAATCTTTTTTTTTCATCTGAGAAAAAAATAGAGACATATGGCAATGTTGCCAGCATAGACACACTGGAATTGTTCATTTATGATTTCAAAAGTGATTTCATCTCACCTCCAAATTTAACTCCTGAACTGAAGTGTTTCCTTCAGCACTTTAACTTCTGGCAGAATCAGCAAACAAAAGAGCCTTGCATCAGGGTAACTTCTGTCCTCTGCACCTCCTGCTGGGCAAACAGGGATGCTCAACAGCTTCCTCCTCTGTGAGGACAGAATCCAACCTGTCTACTGATGTTTTCAGAAAAGCCCTGCTCAGGCGGTTGCGAGTTGCGACTAAGATTTAAAATCTGAAAGCAGAACCGTGTTGGTACCTGAAGATATAAGAAATGGTCCTGAGAAAATTGTCTTTAACATACTGACCATCCTGTACTTTGACATAGCGAGAGTCTCATTTCGATAAGAAAAATCATTCATTCCAACTGTAAGACTTACAGACCATAGTTGTGAGAAGAGTGAATATAGTTGTTCCACATTCTTTTACAAACATTTGTCTAAGAGAAACATTTTCCTTTTTGGCCAAAAATAGTTTTACATGTAGCTTTTTTATATGCTGGATTTAGATCTAGAAACTCAATACACACACACACAGATATATATATATATATATATATATATATATATAATTTCCCTTATGACTAAACTTTTTGACTTTTTGTCTTTATTTACAAGTCTATTAAAATAGGGGCTTGGAAGACGGATCAGTAATAAAGACTACTTGTTGTTCCTGCAAGTAATAAAGACTACTTGTTGTTGAACCAGGTCCTGCAGAGGACCTGGGTTCAGTCCCCAACACCCACATGGCAGCTCACATCCACTTGTAACCCTAGTTCCAGGTGATCTAAAGCCCCGTTCTGTACCAAGTCTGCACATAGTGCGTACACACACATGCACACACACACACACACACACAAGCAGATAGACACATACATAAAATGTAAATAAACCAGGTGTGCACACAACAATAGATTAATATCCACAATGTGCTTCTTATATCTATTACCTGAAATCTCTTGCCACAAAAGCATCAGATGAGTCTTAGGTAAAAGAGAGAATCTGGTTCTCTGCAATAGAAGCAGTCATTCAGCTGTGTGCACTAAAAGGTGGATATACAGTTATATAGCAGAGCCCTTGCCTAAGCCCTGGCAAGGCCCAGGGTTCAACCCCAGCGTTGTAAGAAAACAAGTGTGCAAAACACACATCTGTGAGCAGTTAGAGGTGTGTCGGTAATTCAGAGTCAGCTTGTGTTGTCTGTTTGCTGGAATCTCTGGATCTTGCTGTTCCCAGTTCCTTCTGTATTCACAGTGATAAGGTTGGGGCTGTGTTTCTCCTTTACTCTAGACCTCTGTTCGCTTTTTGTCTCCTAGACACTCAACTTTCCTAAACTTCATGTATTACAAACCCACTTACTGAATTCTTTGTCCTATTTCTAGAAGAAAACATTTGAATTCTGTTTGGGTTTTGCTTTTTAAACTGAAGAGCCATTTCTATTCTGCAAAAGAAAGGTATAATGTGAACATCTCTGATAGGGGAGTTCAGCCAATCACATTCTGTTTTTGGGGCATGCTGCCCTCAGACAAAAGCCTGCCTATAAACCTAGCAAGCGCGCTCTGCAAGCTCTCTTTTCTCCTGGCTCCAGGGTCCGGACGGATTGTTTGGATTCTGGTGTAAGCTGTTGTAAGTCTTACTTCTGTTTATTAAAGCTGTATATTTTATATCAAGATAGTCTGGGGACTTTTCTTTACCAATCGCCCTGCAGCTTCATCTGGCGCCCAACGTGGGGCTCAAACCCACGACCCTGGGATTAAGAGTCCCATGCTCTACCGACTGAGCTTCACATCTCCGTAGCAGGATCAGTTGCTCACCAGGGACAGATCACTTTGCTCATTTACACCTCTCATCCGCTGTGACACTGTGATGTCACAGGCAACAGATGTGAGGTGTATTTGGGGAAGAAATAGAACAGTGTCTAAAAGATCAATCAGTGAGAGATTGGTCTGTTTGTGAGGGAAACTCTGACAAAACAAACAAAGCTCCCTCCCCCATTCTCTCCCATGGTGTGTAGTTACTCACTGTATTGCATGTCCTTAGGATCCTGTGTGTAGTTACTCAGTGCATTGCATGCCTTTAGAATCCTGTGTGTAGTTATTACATTGCATGCCCTTAGGAAACTGTGTGTAGTTACTCAGTGTATTGAATGTCCTTAGGATCCTTGAAAGTTTTCAAAGCACATCTGAGCTAAATGCTAAGCACTGGGATGTGTTCGTTGATAGTGCAATAGGAGCCTGAAGTACTGTATTCAGGTTCATTGTCAACTGTGCTCTGGAGAACATTAAGAAAGTGGAAGATGCTATCCTACTTGTTAAAGAAAATCCAATTGTACTTTGTTCTGCCTAGATGTCTAGGTTCTGTCTTTACGTACAGTTCAGATTCTTTGAGACTGGATTATGTCTTTGGATACAGATAAAAAAGTCATAAAAATTAAACATTTTATAGCCTAATGGAGTGGATCTAAGTTCTGGCGCCACTCGGTTATCAATTGATAGATCACTTAACCTTATGTTTTGATAATAATCTGTTGTCAGGGAATGACTGGGGAGATTAAATGAGATGGTATATATAGACACAATAAAATTGTACTTGGTACAGTGTTGGCAGTCAGTGTGTACAAACTAGTTCACAAATGGATTTAAAATGAGTTATATTCAAATCAATAAATATAGAAGACCTAGCTTTTTTGTTATTCCTCTTGGATTATCAGATACATGGATCCAGCATTTTATTCTTTTATGCATAATCTATAGTTCTTGAGTTACAGAGTTATAGTCAATAAGATAGGAGCACATGAGTACTTAGACATTCTTAGCTTTATCCAAAGCAGTAATAATAATAGTAGTAGTAATAATAATTCAGTTATACTTTCACTACCTTTCTGGAATAAATTTCTGGAATAAATTTGATTCCCTCCTAAAGGACTAGTTCATATAAAGGGATAACTGGGAGAAGAAAGTATCTCCACCTAGCACTGCAGGTTCAGAAGAAATAACCAGTCACTTAGCATGGCAACAGTCCATGCCGTGACGAACTGGGCTGGGGCTACTAGATCCTGAGCCTTGACATTAGTGGGCCACTTAGTGTGTCCCCTGAAGTCACCCTACTGGGATGTCCTTCTAGACATCACCATGGTTACAAAAGAACATTAGGAAGCCTTTTCTTTCATGCAAGGGATCTTTAGATTCAAATATTTTTATGGGTCTCACCTTTGGGATTACAGAACTGGATGTTTACATGTGATTCTAAGAATGTTGTAGTTTCTATTGCAAGCTCTTGTTTCAAAGAAACTGGTACAGATGATATAAGAAACTGGTACAGATGATATAAGAAACTGGTACAGGTATAAGAAACTGGTACAGGTATAGATCACAGCCCCAAGAGAGGTGTGTGCTGATGCTGAATGAGGAGACCCACTACCAATGAAATCCTCAGCAGCAGCTTTGTAGAGATCATCAGATCCATTTTTAGACTTCCACATTTTCGCTAACTCTGTGCCCTCCGTAAGGACGGAATTTTCAGCTGCGTTTATCAGCTTTTACTTTCTACAAGTTGCTAAAGTATCCGTCCTGGAATTCCACTGCCTTGCAAAAAAGAATTCAAGATTTTTTTTTTTAAGTTTTGCTGACTATGTCTTATGGCACAGGACTGAAACTTTACCTGCTTAATTGGCAGGTTAAACTTTATGAGTTTCTGGTACCCTGGTGATACATGACTATTAAAACTTGCAGGTGGTTCAGGGCAGAGAGATGTAAGTTCCAGTGCTAGTAATACATCACAAAAGTGTGTGTTTCTTCACGTCACTGTTGTGAAAATGGAGACTTTAATACTCTTGCACAGTATAAGCTGATTAGGGAATCTTTATGGATCTCAACTATGGGTCTCTTTTTCATAGAAATGAGGAAAATATAATGCTTATAGACAGAAGTGTAAAAACATATAATTGGCCCGGTGTTACCTTTTTGAGACTCAGGGTTTAGTGGCCATCTGCGTGCACCTTCCGACTTGTACAAACTGCCTCTTAGGAACGGGGCTTCTGTCACGTAAAATGCTGTAAATCTGACATTTTTATGCTTTCTTCAGAAGGCAGATTTGCTTAATTACGCTTATGTCATATTTAAGTGTTAGCACATTTCCTTTTTGGAGTTTATCTTTTCATCAGGAAGTGTAAATGCATGCTGTGGCTAGTGGTATACACCACATAAGCAACTCAGTTTGGCGGGGAAAGTGATATGATTGCAATTCATTAGAAGTTGTATTTTCCATGTTTACAAGTGGTTTTCAGACCAAAAACCTCTTTCAAATATTGACTGAGTTGGCCACCGTCTCCACCTTAGGAGCTCTTTGTAATTAGGGCTAATTGGAGCATGGAGAGACATTAAAATGAATTAGTTTTAATTAAGAGAAGGAAGATGAATAATAGTTCTTTTTTTACAACTTTAAATTTAACATTCTTTTTAGCTTCTCTATGGGAGAAGATGTCTGTTAGCTTCTCTTGGTGTTAAGCTGTAATCTTCAAATAGGACCTTAGAATACATTACAATTTTGTTTTTTTATTCCCTTGGTAACCATATGGTGATTTAGTTTGAAGGTAATATATCCATTTTTACATGTTGCTGAGAAAGTGAGCAATCTTCAAACTCATTGTTCAAAAATACATTTTAATTGGTTGCCTATAATCTGAATGAGGAAGCATCCAGGACACAGGAGACAGGAAGAGAGAGCTGGAGGGATGGGCAGCACACTGTATGGGAGCTGAGGCCCAGGCCTCTGACGCTGGTCAGAGCTAGCAAAAAGGAGCAGTGAACTTGGTCAGACAGTGCTACTGGGGCTTTGAATGTCTCCAGATATTTGCTGATCAGGAACACACAGAATTCAAAAAATCTTTTTGAGTGTTATACTTGTATACAAACACACATACACACACACACACATCATTATATATGTGGCTGTGTTACTATGCATATATACATGCACCATTTATCAATATTCATACATGTTCAATGATATGAATATATACACATACTATTTATAATTATGTACCTGCTAATAGTGATATATGCATAGGCTAATACATTTACATGTGTCAATACACAGGCATATACACACCATTTGTATAGATGTATATGTAGTATATGTACACATACACTGTTTAAACATCTTTAAATTAATATACATACAGCATTTACATATATATAAATGTACATACACAACTATATATATGGGTTGATACATACATATATACTTAATATTTATTCAATATTTATGTCCATATTCATTTATATTTACACATTTATACATTTGTTTGTACTAACAAGCATGCATACACTGTTTTTCATATAAATGCTAATATACATATACATGCATTATATGATAAAGTAGCTTATATTGTAATGACTATGAATCCATTTATGATTTATAAAATGAATTTAGCTTGAACATCTCATTTACAGGTGTGTGACCCTGCATATTGTCAGCATGCAGCAATAGTCTTTGATGTCACCTCTGCTTTTCTCTCTTCTTTAAGAAAATACTTTCTCAGAAATTGGCAATTCCACCTCAAAGAACTAATTCAAATTTGAAGACAAAAAAATGGTGACTCATCAAAGAAGAATGTTAGGTTATTTTGTTCTGGCAGAATCCAACAGATTGGAACTAGAGGCCTTTGTCAAGGCTCCCACCTGAATTTTCCATATAACATTCTTAGCATGGAAATTGTCCTAGAAAAATAAAATAAAAGGGATAAATGTAAGCTCCACAAAAGACTCACAGTTTGGGTGAAGAGACTGTGACACTAATTTGATTTTATAGGCATTATGTAAAAAAAAAATAACTAGCTTTTACAGCATTATAATCCAGTCAAGGAAGTATTTGGGAATCAACGTATGCTGTTGGCAACTGTCTCATGGCAAATGAACGGGTGCTAAGCCGCTCAGCAAGGGAGCAGTCTATAGCACATGCTTGGCACTCAGTGCTTCAGAGGTGCTAATAATAGTTCCAGCCTGAAAATCTGGTGCATCTGTGTAGGGCTGGTGACACTTACCTTAGGGGAGGATGCAAGGCAGCTCATACAGTTGATGAGACTTATTTTTTCATGTTGATTTTAGGCCTCTACCTAGGAAAAACAGTTATTTAAAAAATTGCAGTGTGGATATTTCTAAGCTCAGATAAGCAGAGTATTCACTGTCTCATTTTGACAATGACACTGCTAAATGAAGGTGTGTAATGGACAGATAGAATGTCCAGTTAGAGGAGGTGACGGAGGCAAGGGCTTCAGAGAGGGACGGCGTTGCATCTGGCTGTGATGGAGGTGATCGTGATTGCTCCTGCTGTGGTGGCTGCCTTTGCACTCTGGCCTCAAAATCATGTACTTTTATCAATTCCTGCTATCGGAATCTAACATCTTACCTTCTTAAACTTTAGGTTGAGAACTCATATGATTTTGTGTAATCAAATATATGGATCATGGAAAATTTGACAATAGTAAAAGGTTTCTGAATCTACAATGAAGAAATTTTTCACAATTTAATGCATTGTGAATCCTAGGTGTTTCTTTCAGTGTTTGGCCAAGTCACACTATATAGCTATACTAGAGATTTGGTTCTGAACATGTAATGTGTTCACACCACCACTCAACACCAACAGATACTACACGTGCAATATGTTCACACCACTACTCAACACCAACAGATACTACACGTGCAATATGTTCACACCACTACTCAACACCAACAGATACTACACATGCAGCATGTGTTCACACCACTACTCAACACCAACAGATACTACACATGCAATGTGTTCACACCACCACTCAACACCAACAAATACTACATGTGCAGCATATATTCACACCACCACCCAACACCAACAGATGCTACACACGCAACATGTGTTCACACCACCACTGCATGCAACAGATACTGCATAGTGTGACTCATGTGTTCACACTACCACCCCAAACCACCAAACACAGCCTGGAACTCCTTCACTCCTAATTAAGATGGCAGCAATTACAGATCGCAGTGGTTTTTACATTTACATATTGTTTTTATGCAAATAAAATGGTTTGACTATAACAAATATATATTTTAATTTGATTTTGAAGTTTATATTTGCTTTTATTGGGAATAGCTTTTTCCCCCTTCCATAATGCAACCTGATACCCCTCCCAGTTCCTCCTCCCTTCCCATCTGGGTCTGTTGCACTTTCTGTCTTTCATTAGAAAAGAAACAGACTTCTAAAGGATAATAACAAAATAAAATACAATAAGACAAAATAACACCTAATACATTGGAATGGACAGAACAAACAGACAGAAAAGAGCCGAAGCAAAGGCACATGAAGCATACCGACACAGAGACTAACTCAGGAATCCCATAAAAACACTAAACTGGAAGCCATGACACAAATGCAAAGAGCCTGTAGCATAAAAAGAGAGGAAAAAATATGTAAGTAAAATCAAAGGAGTATAAGTCAACATTGAGAACAACAAATGCACTAGCGTGGAGGTATGAGATAAGGAACGTCCAATGATGTCATTGAGGTTTTTTCTATTGGCCACCTCCTGCCAAGCACGCTGCCCATTGGCTCCCTCCTGCCAAGCACACAGCCCATTGGCTGCCTCCTGCCAAGCCCACAGCCCATTGACCACCTCCTGTCAAGCACGCAGCCCATTGGCTGTCTCCTGCCAAGCTCGCAGCCCATTGGCCGTCTCCTGCCAAGCTCGCAGCCCATTGGCCACCTCCTGCCAAGCACGCAGCCCATTGGCCATCTCCTGCCAAGCACACAGCCTACCAGTAAGAGCAGTCTGGACTGCTAACAGTGGCAACTTCCAAGCCAGTGTGACCCGTGGCCTCTACCTCAGCTGAGCGTACTTCAGTAGCTGATTTCTCTCCTGGAGTTAGATACCTAACTGTGATAAAAGAGCTAAGTGAAAGCGTACTAAATTCCCTTCTGCTGAGACCACACAGCAGCACCTTCAGTCAGGTGAAAGTGAGGAAGCCAGAGGGAAGAAATTACAAGTAGGTGAACGATGCTACAAAACCAAAGCCCCATGCCAGAGCGCTGCGACTGAGATATTCAAACACCCAAACGGTTGTGAGACACCGTTAATTGACCTTTGCTTTTTAAATGTATTTAAGTGGAAAATTGAAACATGTCTGTCCTAAGCAAAATTTCAGACCAGTTTTGTAAAAGGAACTGTTTTTCTTACAGGTGTTTGGCAGCAATGTGGGGGCTTCATGGGCCTTTTCATAATGTCCATAAAAGAGCAGAAACTGGGAAAATAATCATTTTTTGCTTCTTTGTTATCTTTGTCACCTCTTTCTTTCTCCTTTTTCAGTTCTATTTTGACTGTGGAAAACTCCATGTTTAGTAAACCATTCATCTCAGTCAACTCCAAAGGTGTATCTGCCATTTTATATTTTATGCTATTTTAAATTACTCAACAGCATTAATAATTATATGTACCCGAAATGGAGTTATTTGTGACAAGTGAATTGCATGGAAAAGAATTGACCCTGGATTTTTTTTTTGTTTTTTGTTTTGTTTTTTTTTTGCATCTTGTTATTTCTTTTACATTACCTGTTCTTTACTGAAGGCATTAACATGTTATGTTATAAATAACTCAACAGTATATTAAAACATTTCTCTTTCAAAAAGAAAAACTTGGTGAGGGTAGGCACAGATTCTTCTGGGGAGTAAGTAATTAAGGAAATGAGTGTCTTCCATGAACAACTAAACATAGGTAAACCAAAGCTGAGCTCAGCATTCTTTCACGAGTGTGAATTGTACCTCTCACCATTGTTGTGAGGGTGAAACCGACCAAAGAGATGGAAGTGTCAGAGATCCCAGAAGGCTTTCCTGGCAGCTGCTGGCTTGGCTTTGATGGCTTCTGAGTCCAGGTGTGAGAGCAGTGCAGGCTGGGATTAGGTCCTGAGAGGTTTATGGGCGCTGCTGAAGTGCATGGAGCAGACTTGCTAAGCAGTGGAGTCCTTTACAGTGGAAATATTTCAGTGTTTTCCTACCTTGACTCTCCCTAACCAGATACAAGATGACCTAAGTGAATATCAGCCCCTTGGGTGGCCTTCTAGTTGACAGGAAAAACGTGCCCTAAACAACCACACATGCCAACCACAGCCTACCAACTGAGCATGCCAACCACAGCCTACCAACTGAGCACATAGCTTGGTTATGTCACATAACTTTTTTTGTGTGACGATAATGGTGGATGTGCTAATTATTTATCTAATAAATGTATCATGTGAGACCCTCTTGTTACTTTGTTCGTCACGAAGAAGCCGAGTCTCACAGATGCCAATAAGAACTCCCTGTGCCCAGTGAAGGTCACCCTAAAGTTGACGTTTGATGTCACACTGTTTGTGGGTGTGGGTGCCTCCAAGTAGGAAGATGAGGTTGGTGTTTCTCACTTTGAGCATTAACAGCATTCAGAATCTCCAAAGTGGAGAAATGCTATGCTTTGCATATCCTTATGGTATTATTTTGAGTTTTTATTTAGAGAGGAAACTGATAAATCACATTCTCGGTAGAATGAGCCTTTTAAACTATTGAAGAATGCTGGGAATTAAAGAAAACAGACAGTATACCAGAATGGTGTGACCTTTTTCTTTTTTTAAAAAGTAAATCTTTTAGTTTGCTAAGATCTCCTGAAATATCACCATTTTTTACCAAAGTGTTCTGGTTCCTTCATGAATATCTGCAAGGATATGCCAGGGGGTATGTTCATTAAAATTACAAGCCTCCACCGCTGCTGTACAAGGTTCCTGCACAGGCAAAGGGCACAGCTTTCGAGTGATGGTTGTTCTTGAATCTGGTACCTGCGCCCATCCATTACAGTTTCAGGCGTCAGCACCGTGACATTAGCCTGTTGTGAAGAAAGAACTATTTTGCTGTTGTGTGGAAATGCCTGGGAGCACAGAAAAGGCCCTACTGAGATAAACAAATCCATAAAGCCCAGAAGGTAGGTAAGTGTCTGGAATTGTGTGGAAGACCAGGAAAGCACCAATGTTCTCGTTCTAAATGCAGTTTTTCTGTACTTGGGACTTGAGCAGGTTTGGGTTACTTGTGATGATTTATTTATATTTCTGGATTTTTGATACAGAATCTGAGTTTGAGGGCTAGGACTCTGTATGCTCTGTGTAGTTGTCGTGATTTCAGAAATCTCAGTCTTGTCTTGCGTTACCCTGTGTGATTGCTAGAGCTCACAGCACCAACATTTCACAGGCTCACCTCAGCTGTAAGAGCAAAATCTGTGTAAGACATTCCAGGTTTGACATATAGGTCTGACATTCTCCAACAATAAACAGAGTGCCTTTCTTGTTTATGGTTTGAGTTAGAGCCTTGTGTTGGTAATCGTTCAAGTCCTGCTTTTTCTGGTCATACTAATAACTCATACAATCCATGCCCCAGGGTCAGATGAACATTTCTGGGAGTGCTCATTGATTTCTCCCTCTTTGTTTTTATTTTTTCACTGACTCTACACGCTGTTAAGTCTCCAGCCTCTGGAAATACCCGGGTCATCATGGAGACAAGGGTGGGAAGGATGGCACCTGCTGTTCTAGGTCACAGGTGGTAGCTGGAGGGAGGTTTAATGAAGAAATAAGAACATCTCAGGTAGCAAGAATGCTCAGGAGAGATGTGATGAAGCCATGTGAGACTGTTTCATATTGCGTAGCCCAAGATAGCTGTCAAGGGATGAGCCTGAGGTCACAGCTAATGAAAGAGAAGCTGACGGTGAGAACGTGGGAAGTGTGTATCATACCGCCCAGACCTAAGCCTTGCTTTGCCTTCCCACCGCTGCTCAATCCCTCTATCCTCCGCTTCCACATGCCTGCTCAGCAACTGCGTTCTGAATGGAATCTACTCTGGTCGGTGACTGTAGAAAGCCGCCTCAGCTCATCCGTTATACGATGCTCTCATCATCGTATCTCATAGAAGAATTTCACTAAACAATTTAATCTGAAGTGTGTTACTCAAGAAACAACTAAGTGTCAAAACAATTTCTTCCTAATCATTCATCTTAAAACGTGTTAAAATGAGAAAATATAACATTTCTTTCAAAGAAGGAGATGAAAGAAAGAAAATAAAACCTTGTTGTTAGGAGGAAACCAGATCAGCAGAAGAGAAAGTGAGAGGGGGGATGGGAGAGAGAGACAGTCAGACAGAAACAGAGAGAGCTGGAGAGTCAGTGACACAAAGAGGCACAGAGAGCCATGGAGATCAAGAGAGGAGGTAGGGTACCTTTCTGTATCTGGGAAGATGCAGGGACCCTTTCTCAAGCAAAGTACCTTTAAAACCGGGAGACCGATTGCACATCGGTAGAGTGAAATTTCAGGGTGTAATTTCCTAAGTGTTTTCTTCACTGGCTTCTTGATGGTTCACTGTCATGGCTGACTGAGCATACCTCTCAAGCAAACACTTAGCTCCCCATGAGCGGACTCTTGACCTCAGCTAGCCACGTGACTGGAGGACTGGAACAGGGTGAAGGCATAAGATTAATGAGAGGCCTGAGTGGAAACAGCGTCTTGTGAGGACTGCACTAACCCCTGGACAGCCGGCCCTTGTTGTCTACAGAGACTGCGAAACTGCATCCTGGCCCAACCTCGAGGGGTCATGGTGGTTCCTGGTCTAGCTTTTCTTCCCTGCTTTCGGCCTGACCCTGGACTGACAGCTTGTTGTTGTCTGTCTCTCTGTTTCCAGTGGCTACCGATGTCTGTGTGTTTCCTCAATGTATCTAACGTAGACGTCGTTTTTCAGACTCTGCTCACTTCGCACATTCTCCCATCTGTGAGCTAATGCCTCATTTAGTTTATTCCCCATCCCTGCAGTCCTTCCTTTCCTCTCTGATAATGGTGAGGAAAGTCTGTGACCTCTGTATACTTCTCAGGAACTCTGCCTTGCTTAATTTTTTTCTAGTCCTTTACCACCTGAAGAAAGAAAACATGGATTGTGATCTTTGTGGAGAAAAGACTAGAAAAAAAGAAGCCCCTGGCAAATAGCAGCCAGCGAAGCTATAGCAGCAGGGGACAGCACGGGGCAGCGAGCTAGGCTGGATGGAGAAGGTGTATACAAATCACAAATATATTACAACTGAACACTTACAGAGAGCGGGAAACTCTGAATTTCTTCTCTCCACCCAGTCTCCATCAGTGGGCTACTAGTGGTGGCCTGCAAAGGGCTCTCTGGTAAGCAGGAACAGGACATCGACTTTAGAAAACAAATCTTCAAAGGAGGGAGAGAGCAGGCCTGTGGGGAAAGCCGGCAGCAGTCTGACAGCCGGAGGTCGTGGGAAAGGAAGGCCTCGCTGTGGGGTTTGGACTCAGAGAGTGAAAGTAGCAGTGGGACACAGTCCAACGCGCCAGGAGCGCCTTTCTTTCTAGGACACACATACACGCATGCACACATGCACACACACATGCACAAACATACACAGACACACGTACACGCAAGCATGGACACACACACATGCACACATATGTGCGTGCGCACACACATACGCACATGCACACACACACACACACACACACACACACACACATGCACCTCGGCAGACCTTAGAAGGTATTAGGACAAAGGCTGTTTTCTCTTCCACACGCATTCCCTATCTCAAGTTTGTGTTTATAATCCCTGTTTCTCCACAGCCCTGAGCTTGAGGATGGAGTTTTAAGGTCGGTCCTTAAAACTCGGGACCTGAGCCCTTGGATGAGAGCCAGGAGTGCCATGTGCAGATAGGCTGTGGAAGGAGAACCTGCACTTCTCTATTGGAAGTCATTTTCTATCACAGATAGTGTTCGGTGGTTGAGATTATGGTTTTACACTTTAGTTACTTGGAATATTAAATTATATTTAGAGCATGCACATTTTCTTTTTATTTTAAAATACTTTCATTGTTTGTATGCTTGCATGTTTATGTATGTACAGGTAAACATATGAACAGTATAACCATGGGTGTGATTCCTCAGGCACTGTCCAAGTCTTGCCTCCCCTCCCTTCCCCTCCCATTCTCTTCTTCTCTTCCCTTTTACCCTCCCTCCCTCTTCCCTCCCTCTCTCCCTCAGATTATTTTTGGGGCTGGCTCTTTCACTGACCTACAACTCACCAGTGGACTAGACTGGCTGACTCAGAAGCCCAAGGCAACCTGCTGGTCTCCACCCTTCAGCAAGAACTGTTTACAAATGTGGGCTCTGTGAATGCCCAGAGGTCATCGCTACCCCTTACCCTTTACATGGAATATTTAAATTGATGTTTATATTTTAATAGCTCAGTATTCTTTTGCGAAGTCAAATTTCAGGGAATCCTGACTTTTGTTCTTTTCTGTTTGACATTTTTTTCTGTGACATTTTTTATATCATAGTATAGTCCTTTGTAACTTTTGGTGGGAGGGGTCTGATGGTGTCTTTTGGTGGACATTACTAAGAAAATTTAGATTCTAGTGCTAAATACTAAATGAGAAGAACATTTCATAAAATATAAGCTCCTTAAAGTAATGGCTTAAATGATCTGACCAGTATCTCCTTTTTGTTAATTTTTAAAAATTCACCCCCAAAATATCATCTAAAACGGTAGTAATTTGTTTATGGCTCTGCATTTTGACCTGACAGTACGAGTCTTTCCGCCCATGGCATTTAACTGAGGCTGGGGCAGCAAGTACAAGGTGGCGCCTAGCTCTCTATTGCCTTTCCTGTCCTCCTTGTCGGTCCTACCTCTTCCTACAAAGAGGAGGAGTCCCAAGGGAGTAGAGGCAGGAGATTCTAGAAGTCTAAATCTGTTAGCAATGTGACTTGAAAAGAAGAATCACACTCATACCATTTATGAAAGAGAAAGGATGTCACAGGCCAGTCCGGATACAAAGGGGCAGAGACAGGCCCACACATTGGCTGGGGGAGCTGTGCGCACCCTCACGGAGGAAAGGAATTACTGCCTAGTATTTGAAGTATATGGAGACTAGCACACAGCATGTTCATAAACACATTAGTGAACCACAACAAGTAACTCAAATTCGTAAATTCATTTTGATATAGCCTTAAAAATCTCGATGAGTATCATGTAGCAGCTTTGTATACCCTTTTTGATGACTGCAATATGAATTTGTGTTTCCTTAACATGGAGTGGTTATATTCCATGCTTTAGATTTGTTTTTTAATCTAACAGTAGAAGCCTCATTCTCAGGTAAGTCAGTTTTCACATGTTTATAATTACTTGGTGGTCAATTCTTTTTTCATTTTTTTTAAAATCTCTTCTCCATGATAAAGGTAGAAGAATCTGAAGATGGTTGAAATTGAGTTCAAATGGCAATCAAGTCACTTCCTTACTGTGGGCATTGAGCAATTTATTTAAATTCTTGGGATCTCATTTTCCTCATTTATGTAATGAGAATAATTATACTTTTGATCACACTGGCATGATAATTAAATGGAGGAGGTAGAGACATCTCACCACAGCAACCAGAAAGCTGTTCTGAAGCATAGTTTATTTTCCACTTTTTTAAAAAAATAATACATTTCTGATCTCAAACATTTTTGAAATTTTAAGTGTCTCAGTTTTACATTTTATTATTGTAGTCATATCTTAAAATGACAAAAATAATAATGCTCTTCTCTTATGTAAATATTTGTAAGATAAAATATGGAGGTAAGGTCAAAGAGAGACAGGAATCCTAGAGGTTTGAGACTCGCTGTTCACTGGTACATCTTGTTTCTGTGGAAGCCTCATTTGCAGAGTTCTTTTCCTTATCCTCTTATAATGATAGGTTCTCAGAAGTGAAGAACATGCACCTTTTTTTATTTTTCCTTTCTAGATATACATGATTTTGTTCTATTTGAACTAAGTCATCAAAAAAAAAATCTCAGTAGATTTTTTCCCCTCTATGAGCCTTTAATAATTAAGCAAAGCAATGGTAGCACATTTCATGGTTTTTATAATTCAGAATGTTCTAGTTGTTGTCTTAGGTTCAAATTGCTGTTTTAGCATTTATTTTGCAGCAACAATATTTCTGCATTATCTAAGGAAGTTTCTGAGAACATTTTTGTTATGAATTTTCATCTCTAGCTGTAAGAAGTTCTCCTCTTGTAAAGTAGAGCCTCATAAGGTAGAACCTTGGTTTCACTAGAATTACTGATGCAGGAGTTTGTAGACCAACTGTAGAATTGTGCACAAGACAATTAAAACTTTTAAGCATAGACTCATTGTAAATTCTGTTGAATTTAATGAAAAATCATTGTAAGTTGCCAGTGCGTCCGAGAGACATTACAGTGATTCTGGTTTGAAAATTGGGTGAGAGCGGGGCCTATACAGCAAGTATTCACGTCTCCATCACAGATAAAGGACCCTTAGAGCTGAAGGTGGCGTAAATGGGCACTTTCCCCAGTTCGGAGTCAAGCGGACAGGTGACATGCTAGGGAAGGGCTGCTTCCTCGTTTCCCATTGATGAAGCTTGCCAACTAAATCGCATTTGGGATTTTCACACTATCACCAGGGCACACGTTGTCACTTCATGTAGTCTCCATGTGGCTACAGAGGGGCCTGCCTTTCTCCAGTTAATGCGAGTGTTGGCAGGACACAGAGAGTGGCACATGGCTGCATTTCTGCACAGTTAACGTTGAATGATTCATTGTATATTACATGTGTGGAAACATTGGATGGAAGTTGCTCCCTGGCAAGCTCTGTCAAGGTTTGTGTTCTTTCTGGAATAGACTACAAACCTTTTCAACACTTGGTGCATAGCTGCGATCGTCATATGCCTCAGAACAGTTCAGGTTTAAATTAGACTAATTATACCCAATGTGATGGATTCAAATACAGCATAACTTCTGTAGGGCTAGCACGTGTTTTAAAATTGTAGAGGGGGCCTACAGGAAAAAAAAATGTTTCCCTGTGTTCTTGACTGGGTATTTGCCCTCCGTGATGAGCAGGCTCATCCATGTATTAGCAGTGATGTGTGGATCGACGGTTACAGAAATGCAGACTCATTATTTATATTCAGTTTTGATCTCATGCTTCTTTCGAATAAATCAGGTCTAATTATAAGCTAAATAGAGTGGAAAACTCCAGAGAGATGATTGCCATATGTCAGGAGTTGAAGGATAGAAATCTTGTGTTGTATATCTGTCACCTTTCGTTCATGGGGATTTCTGACGTTAGCTATGGTGCAGAACACATGCACTGTTCTTTCTTCCTCTAAAGGCCGATTTGCCAAGGGCATTTCCCCTTATGTGGTGGGATTTGCACAGATGTTAATGCAACTTTTAAATATTATTGAAAAGCAGAGAATTCGGGTGTCACACACTCAGTGATAATGCTGTTACCGATCAACCTCTGTCTTGTGTGTATTGACATAATGTACACTGAACATCCAGTACTTAGGATTATTAGGTGATCACATTAGACCGTGATTTG